AATACACATATGGCCACATAGGAACACATATGGAACACTGGAGTACCAACCGCAGGTGGCTACTAATTTCAACTCCAGGGGTGGCAGATGGCTTGCCAAGGGAAGACACATGCTCAGAGAGGCTTACAGTGGATAATACACATGAGACGGTTACCAAGGGGAACCGTGCGCATGGAGGCACCTAGCCAGCATCCAGAGCAACAGCAGTGGTGCCCGCATCGTCGGTGCTGGAGGACTCAAGACTTCAATGGAAGAACTGAGGAAATATCGCACTTATCCAGTCCGGGGAGTGGAGTGGCAAGCAAGCGAAGACACCTGAGCGGATCCAGAACTGGCCGAAACGAGTACGTGAGAGGATACCGGCTCAATTCGCAGATTATAGAATCTGGCGAAGGTGTTGTGTGTCGCCCAGCCTGCAGCTCTGCAGATGTCTGTTAGCGAGGCACCGTGCGCTAGAGCCCAAGAGGAGGCCACACTCCGAGTGGAATGGGCCGTCACACCAAGGGGGCACGGACGGCCTTGCTGCTGGTAAGACAAAGCAATGGCGTCCACTATCCAGTGGGACAGCCGTTGCTTTGAGAGAGCCCTTCCCTTCTGGCTCCCCCCATGACAGACAAAGAGCTGGTCTGAGGTCCTGAAACACCGCGTTCTGTCGACGTAGGTGCGGAGAGCACGTACCGGACAGAGCAGTGCCAAGGCTGAGTCTGCCTCCTCCAGGGGCAGCGATTGCAGGTTCACCACCTGGTCCCGGAAGGGAGTGGTGGGAACCTTGGGCGCATATCCAGGCCGGGGTCTCAGGATCACATGAGAGTAAGCCGGCCCGAACTCCAGGCACGCTTCGTCAACGGAGAATGCGTGCAGGTCCCCCACCCTCTTGATGGAGGCCAATGCAACCAGGAGTGCTGTCTTCATGGACAGAAACTTTAACTCTACTGATTGCAAAGGCTCAAAGGGATGCCTCTGCAGAGCACTTAGAACTACCGAGAGGTCCCAAGAGGGTACGAGGGGAGGACGAGGCGGATGTAGCCTCCTCGCTCCCCTCAGGAACCTGATGACCAGGTCGTGCTTCCCTAAGGACTTACCTTCCACTGCTTCATGAGAAGCGACAATGGCCGCGACGTAAACCTTAAGGGTGGAGGGCGACAGCCTGCGCTCCAACCCTTCTTGGAGGAAGGAAAGCACGACCCCGATCGAACATCTCCGGTGGTCTTCTCCGCGAGAAGAGCACCAGTTGACGAAGAGGTTCCACTTCAACGCATAAAGGTGTCTCGTGGACGACGCTCTAGCGGAAGTGATGGTCGCCGCCACCGCAGGTGGCAGCGAACTCAAACCTGCCTCGTCCCGTCCAGGAGCCACACGTGCAGCCTCCAGAGATTGGGACGAGGGTGCCACAGAGTGCCCCGTCTCTGAGTGAGTACATCTTGTCTCAGAGGAATAGGCCAAGGAGGTGCTGTCGCGAGGAGCACGAGTTCGGAGAACCACGTCTTGGTGGGCCAATAGGGGGCTACCAGCAAGACCTGCTCCTCGTCCTCCTTGATCTTGCACAACACCCGTGCAAGAAGGCTCACTGGGGGAAACGCATGCTTGCGTGGGCCCCGCGGCCAGCTGTGCGCCAGTGCATCTGAGCCGAGCGTACCCTCGGTCAGGGAATAAAACTGGGCGCAGTGGGATGAGTCCCGGGAGGCGAACAGATCTATCTGTGCCTCCCCGAACTGGTCCCAAATCAGCTGGACCGTCTGGGGATGGAGTCGCCATTCGCCGGAGATAGGGCGGACCCGTGACAGCTCGTCGGCTGCCAGGTTCCGGTCTCCTGGAATGTATACTGCACGAAGGGACCTCAGGTGCTTCTGACTCCATAACAAGAGGTGGCGGGCGAGCTGCGACAACCGGCGTGAGCGTAGACCCCCCTGGTGGTTGATGTACGCTACTGCCGTGGTGTTGTCTGAACGGACAAGCACATGTTGACACCTGAGCAACGCTCGAAAGCGGTGCAGGGCCAGGCATACTGCCAGCAGCTCGAGGCAATTGATGTGCATGAGGCGCTGGGGTCCTGTCCAGGAACCCGCGGCTGCCTGCCCATTGCACATGGCACCCCAACCCGTGGTAGATGCATCAGTGGAGACTACGAGATGCCTGGAAACCTGCTGAATAGGGACGCCGGCCCATAAAAAACTGAGGTTCGACCACGGGAAGAAGGTTCGGCGGCACGCTGGAGTCACTGGAACTCGGAGCGAGCCGCGATGCCATGCCCACCTCGGGACTCGATCGCGAAGCCACAGCTGAAGCGGTCTCATATGAAGCAAACCGAGCGGCGTTGCCGTGGCCGCGGATGCCATATGCCCCAGGAGCCTCTGAAATAGTTTCAGTGGAACCGCACTCTTGCCCTTGAACTGTCGAAGACAAGTCAGCAGTGAGTGCGCGCGCTCGTTCGTGAGCTGCGCGGACATGGCGACCGAGTCTATCTTCATGCCGAGAAAAGAGATCCTTTGCACGGGGCAAAGTTTGCTCTTTTCCCGGTTGACCCGAAGGCCCAGACGGGCTAGGTGCCGGAGCACCAGGTCTCTGTGTTCGCAAACCTGTTCTCGAGAGTGAGCCAGTATCAGCCAGTCGTCGAGATAGTTCAGGATGCGAACCCCGTGTTCGCGAAGGGGAACAAGGGCTGCCTCGACGATCTTCGTGAAGACGCGAGGGGACAGAGCTAACCCGAATGGGAGAACCGTGTACTGATATGCCTGGCCCTCAAAAGCAAACCGAAGAAACGGTCTGTGTCGAGGCAAAATGGAGACATGAAAGTACGCGTCCTTCAGGTCGATCGCTGCAAACCAATCCTGAAGCCGAACGCATTCGAAAATGCGTTTGGCTGTGAGCATTTTGAACGGTAGTCGATGGAGAGAACGGTTCAAAATGCGCAGGTCCAGGATCGGTCGTAACCCACCGGTCTTCTTGGGGACAATGAAGTAGGGGCTGTAAAACCCGGACCTCATCTCGGCTGGAGGGACCGTCTCGATTGCACCCTTCGCCAGCAGGGTCGCAATCTCCGCTCTCATGACCGGGGCATTGCCACCGACCATCGTGGAGCGAACTCCCCTGAAACGGGGAGCCGAATCTGATCGTTCTGATGACCCAGCGGGACACCCCGGGAAGCTCTAGCCAAGCTTCCAGGAAGTGTACCAGCGGGGTCATCCGAACCACAGACGTCCCCCTGGAGGGGCAGCGAGGCGGGTCGACCAGCATGCGCATAGGAGTTACCCCGCCCGGATGCACCGTCGAAGCCTGCTCCCCGACAGAAGAGACCAGGGAAGGCAGAGCGTTCCTCGGGGGTCTGTTCTGCCGGGGGTCTGGCGACAGAGGGGGAGGGGAGTGGCGTAGTCGAGGGACGACACACGCTCCCTTCCGCACCCTCAGAGACAGAGAGGAATGAGTGGGCTGACGCACTGGGACGTCGAGCGCACTCATGCCCGACTGTGTGCTCAGTGATGATGTCAAGTCTTTCTTTAACCAACTCAGGGTGCTGCCCACCCGTGGGTGAGCAGCGGGGAGCTGAGAACAAAAGATTCTCCCCCGGCCCTCCACCGGGGGAAGGAGGGGGCCTGCTACCGCCTCCTGGGAAAGACTCGACTTCATCACTGAGCAGTCCGTCTCAGGGACGTCGCTTTGCCTGGCGTTTAGCGGGGCGTGCGGCCTGAGGGGGCTGTGACGCCTGCCTGCGGCCTCCTCCACGCCGCGGCCCGGATGAAGGCTGCTGCTGGGGCCGCGTGGGAGGGAGGGGAGCCGCAGGGGGATGTCCTCGGCGGCTAGCAGAGGGAGGCGTCTGTACCGACGGCTGGGTGGAGGCAGCAGCTGGCCGTCGGGGCAGAATATATTTAATCGCCTCTGCTTCTGGGTGGTTGAGAACTGCTGGGCAAAGTCCTTGACCGCACAGCCGAAAAGGCCAACCTGGGAGAGTGGGGCGTCGAGCAGACGAGTCCGCTCGGCGTCCCGAGTGTCTGCCAGGTTGAGCCAGAGATGATGCTCCTGGACCACACTGGTGGCCATCACCTGACCAACGGAGCGAGCGGCCACCTTCGTCGCCCGGAGAGCAAGGTCAGTGGCGGCTCGCAGATCCTTAACCAGTTAACCTTCGGGCAACCGACGGCGCTCTGAAGCCCCCCCCCCCCCCCCCACTAGTTTAATGTTTATGAATGGATTTAACATGAAAGAAGATCATTAATCTTGGCAAACTATATATAATTTTAAAGGTCTAAGCCTCGGGCATCGATGTCAGTGCACTGTTTTTCGATGGAAAGCTTATAACAAATGTATTTCTTGCATTTAGGTAAGCAGTACACATAAAAACGCACGTAAACAAAAACGGAGTACTCACCATTATTTTGTAATAACGAGCCAGACACGCATCCACTGTTAAAAATTCCAGATTGAATGGAAAGCTGAGGGTCCACTGAATAACATCCCATAGAGCATTTTTTGTCCAAAGAAAAAATAATGTTGTAATATCCATGGTTATTCCTTTGTTTACATCGCGTTTCTTCAGGGTGAATATCATGCGGTTTTGTTATGCAATAAAATAGTCCATAGAAAACAGACTCCCGGTAGCAGACCCTTATATGGGTGTGTTGCTTAGAGTGTAATGAACAAATTACGACCGCGCACACACACACAAAAACAAAGATAAGCGATATCTAGTTCAAAATATGCAAACACTGCAGTCCGTTTTTTTGACGTCATGATATGCACATCATATCATTCTGTCTTTACAACGAAAGCCAATAAAAGAAACGACATGATATGACTGCTAAAACATGTAGCCAACCAGTGCACGATTCCAACGATGCCCGGGAAGTTTGAATTTCTCACACAAACATATGTTTTTATTTGCTCTCCGTCCGGTAGAGGAGCTAAACTCAGGCTCTGCAGAGCCACAGCCACACCCACCGCTGTCATGTTTTGACAGGCCTGCTACAGCTAAGAGCTAAGATAACAAGCCAGGAGGTAGCTAACAAACATCTGTTCGTGCAGACATACAGACTGTCATAAAATGATTTGTCAAAAGAAGTATTTTTCTGCTGAAGTAGTTATTCGAGATCACTCGAAGATGGATTATGTCGACATTGATGAGAAGATGAGTGATGAGAAGATCGTGACGACGGTGATAATTATGCTTGAGGGCGGAAAAGATTATCCAATTTTCGGTGAGTTGCTTTATACATAATTTATGTAACATGCACACATTATACGTATGTGTGTATGTGTGTGTGTGTGTCTGTGTGTGTGCGTGTGTGTGTGTGTGTGTGTGTGGGTGGGTGGGTGGGTGAGAGAGAGAGAGAGTGTGTTTGGTTTCCAGTTGTTTCATACGGAAAATGCATTGTGTAAAGTTGTGTCTGAAAAGATTATGCAACTTTATATGCATTTATTTATTTGTATATATGTATTTATATGCGTTGTACGGTTATGCAGTTGTTTGCCGTTTTTTTCTGGCACATGTGGTGTGCTATCTGAAGGATGGAGGGGCTGGACACCTGTGCAATATACATTTTTTCCTAGCACACATACTGTATATTTTTACAGTCTAATATACATAATATTTATAGTACAAATGCAAATATTTGTACTGTAAATATGATGTATGTTGTACTGTAAATGTATATGTTGTATGTATGTATATATATATATATATATATATATATATATATTTGTTTTGTTTGTTTGTTTTGCAGAAATTAGTGGGAAGAATTGCAGAAAATATGTGCTATATAGGAAGGAGTTGTATGCTTTCAAAATGGCACATTCCTGTCTGATGGCCGGCCATCAGTGTGATTGTTGGTTCTTTGTCTGGTCATCCATATGAATGCTGTCTATATCACTGGCCATCACCGGCCATTGATTGTTGATTGAATGGATGAGCTTTAGTACGAATGCTGTGTAAACGACTGCCCATCAGTTTGATTGTTGAATGAATGGCCAGCTATATAGAAACTGAACAGAATTATTTACTTGACATGCAGTGCTAATTATCTTTCCATTCTTTCCCATGCAACAGCCATCAAGTTGAATCTTCAGATGAAGAATGGCATCCAAGCACCAGCCAGAGATGCAAGCTCTCAGTTTCTTCACTATTCTTCACTTTTTCCATACTTTTCAGAACATTGCAATTGACAAGAGGATGGTGGCATCAAAAGCTAGGAATGGACTAAAGCAATATATGAAGGCCAAGCCAACAAAGTACAGTATTTATATCACTTGTATTTTCTATGGCAAAGAACCTCAGTTATTTATTTTTTATATTTCATAATATTTTACTTATGTATTTTACATATATTTTTTTGTTCTGTTGTGCAAATAAATCACTTGCATAAAGTCTAATGGTTGTGTGTATTATTTTATAATTGCATTATTTTATGAATTGACTGAAATAGCTTGCAGTGCCCTGCATAACAGTTGGTCATTAGGTTGCTTTTTGATGTATCCAAGGAGGTTTCTTGGTACCTGGACATAGTCTTGGAAAAAATATTGTAGGAATCTCATTTTTCATAATATCTTCCTCAAATTTGAAATATAAACTGATGAGACTTATGTCTTTCAATAAATTACCTAACTGGATTCCTACAGGTTTGTTTTCATTTATTTTTACATGAAATTGTAAAATATTACATGCAGTATAAATTATCTTCAAGACACTTTAAATTCTATAACTTTTTGTCTGTGTAAGTTTTTTCAACTTTAACAGTTGGTTAATACACTGTAAAGTGTCTTCTTTTTAAACATGTCTAAATTGTGCATGTAGTGCAAATAGTTGAGCAACTGCAAATATTTTAGTTTGGGCATGTTATTTCTGGGGATGTGCCTCAGGCAGGGGGAGGGAGAAAGGGAACTGACATAGTCTTGGAAAAAAGTTTGCAGGAACCCCATTGTTCATTATATCTTCCTCAAATTTGAAATATAAACTGATGAGACTTGTGGCTTTCAATCCTTTATCTATCTGAATTACTCCAGGTCTATTTTTATATATTTGTACATGAAATACTAAAACATTTTTGTGGCGCACATTATTTTTGAGGCACTTTTAACTTTTATAACTTTTTTTCTGTTTGAGCATTATCAAATCTGATTGATTGTTAGTAGAGTCCCAACTGTCTTCTTTCCAAAGATACCTTAATTGTGCCTGTGGTACACTGTTCTCAGGAGCTGTATTTATTGTTATCCAGGCATGTCATTTTCAGCTGTGAGCCCCCTTGTGGAGCTGAAGGTTTGGTCAGTCCCGCCCTCGTGCATATCTCTGAGCAGCTTCGCTTGAAAAACCTGCAAAGTGCTCATCGCATGCAAAGCGGAGGCCGCCTGTCCCGCCGCTCTATAGGAACGCACCGCCATAGAACCGCACGAGAACCTACAGGCTTTGGATGGGTGCTTAGGAGGACCACGGGAGGAGGCGCTCTGTGGACACAGTTGCATCGCAACAGAGTGCTCCACCGGGGGCAACCCAGTGTACCCGCGGGCGGCCCCACCATCGAGGGGAGGAAAGGCGGGGGAGACTAGATCGCGCTCTCGAGAGGACAGGGGAGCCTTCCAAGAGCGCGTCAGCTCCGCATGCAGCTCAGGGAAGAAAGGCACTGGAGTCGGCCGTGGCCTTGCGGCGGCAGCTTTGTCCAGAAACCAATCATCCATCCGCGAGAGATCGGGGCAGGGCGGAGGGTTCCACTCTTAACCCGATACTCCCAGCGGCTCGAGACAGCATGGCCGTCAGCTCGGGATCAGACACGGGCAACGCTGGCACTCCCGAGGGAGGCAACGCAGCCGCATCCTCATCTCCCGAGGAATCAAGCCCGCCTTGTGATGCTGTGATTGACATCGCATCATCATCTGGAGCGCCGCACGAAACTGCCGGCGCCCCTGAAGAGACAGCCGACTGAATCGAACTGGCGCTCACTGGCTCTGCCACTGAGGCGGGAGGTGTGGCCCGAGGAATCGTCGGGGCTTTATTCCACACCGTCACCGTCAGATCACCAGATCCCCGAGTCGACGAGCTTCTCGTGGAAGAAGCCGATCGAGTGGCGGGGACCGGGACTCTCACTTTTGTCAGATCATTGAGTCTCGACCTCAGTGTAGAGATGGTCATGTTCCCACAGAAGGAACATGAGTCATCCACGAACGCTGCTGCTGCATGCTGAATGCCCAGGCATACAGAGCAGCGATCGTGACCATCAGATGACGATATGAATCGACCACACCCAGAAGAGCACGGGCGAGCCATCTTTAAAAAGACGTGCCGCGTGCAGCTCTTTCAATGAGAGGAGGAAATTCACTCTTTCAACGCTGAGGCGACCAGGGAGAAGCGCAAAGTCTGGCAGACCACTGCTCAGATCACAGGCAATGCAGAATCTCGCTGGGTACCGCCGTCACACCAACACTGAAGAGGACGCTCGTCTCGAAGAGTCTTGAAACAGTGAGAATGGCTTTCAGGAGTGAAGAGTTCTCTTGGCTCCGAAGCGAAAACATACTGCGGTTGCGTTCACTTCCTCCTTTTATACTCACGGAGTAGGGCGGAGTACGCTATGCAAATTTCCGCAGCCCCAAGGCATTGCATGCCATTGGCTCGTTTTTAAATACTCAAAGAGGATTGGCTTTCTATGCGAAACCCCCAATCTCCGTCACTTCTGACGTAACTCGAAGTGACTACGAAAGGGAACTCTTTACATTCGATTATCATGTAAACAAATCTCAGAGAACGATTGACTAGGTACCGATGTTTTATTAAACCAAAGGTTCATTGTTCACCGGAGTTCTCCTTTAAATCATTTTTTCACTCACAAACACACACACACACACACACACACACACACACACACACACAAAAAGGTTTTATAAAAACAAACCTCACATATTTCAGGCTTGAAATATTTTTCACAAAAAAGGTGGGTAACACTTTAGAATACGGTTCCTTTGTTAATGAATAACTACACAAGAACTAATGAGTAACACAATATTAACAATCTAGTAACTATTATTAACTAACAAGAAACTCTGATGAACGAACTAGTAAGTAATAGCGCACAGACGAAAGTGGTAGTTCACTATTAACTAATCAATAACTACTATTTTTTTAATACTTCCCAGAGAACTACTGAAAAAGTTTATTAACAATCTAGTAACTACTATTAACTAAAAGAAACTCATTAGTAAGTAAACAAATTAGTAAGTAATAGCTCACAGATGAAAGTGTTACTAGATACTTGTGTGGGAATTACTAATTATTTGGATTCGTATTATAAAGTGAAGATCATTGGAACTAACTAGTAATTACTCAAGTGTTACTAAAGACATTTTCTAAAAGTGTATTACAGTTCACAAAAAATCTTAAACGGTTGCACAAATCATGACTAGATCATGTAGTAACACTTGAGTAATTACTAGTTAGTTCCAATGATCTTCACTTTATAATACGGATCCAAATATTTAGTAGTAATAGCTCACAGATGAAAGTGTTACTAGATACTTCTGTGGGAATTACTAATTATTTGGATCCGTATTATAAAGTGAAGATCATTGGAACTAACTAGTAATTACTCAAGTGTTACTACATGATGATTTGTGCAAACGTTTGAGATTTTTGGTGAACTTTAGTATACTTTTAGAAAATGTCTTTAGTAACACTTGAGTAATTACTAGTTAGTTCCAATGATCTTCACTTTATAATACGAATCCAAATAATTAGTAATTCCCACAGAAGTATCTAGTAACATTTTGATCTGTGAGTTTTACTTACTAATTCGTTAATAAGAATTTATTTTAGTTAATAGTAGTTACTAGATTATTAATAAACTTTTCAGTAGTTCTCTGGGAAGTGTTAAAAAAAATAGTAGTTATTGATAACTTAATAGTAAACTACCACTTTCGTCTGTGCGCTATTACTTACTAATTTGTTAATCAGAGTTTCTTGTTAGTTAATAATAGTTACTAGATTGTTAATATTGTGTTACTCATTAGTTCTTGTGTAGTTATTCATTAACGAAGGAACCGTATTCTAAAGTGTTACCAAAAGGTGTTATAAAAAGATAAACCTCACATATTTCAGCCTTAAAATCATTTTTATAAAAAGAATGAGTCAAAAAAAAAATTACTTGACATTTACATTAATGCACATTAGCTTATCTTTTATAATTAATAGTAAAATTCAGTCCATGCACTGTGCTCTCCACAACGACAAAGAAGTTTTAGTAGCTGATAGATTTTCACCACCAAAAAACGCTTTCTATAGTTCTGCTCGACTACAAGATTTATTTACAGAGAAGAGAAAAACACCGGTAGTGTTTGGGCGCACCCCCATCCTTCACGTTTACTGAGCTTTCAATGGTGGTTGGTTCTTGTCACATGAAATGCGATGCGCTTGCTGCATTCTGAAAAGTTGAAGAGTTTTCATCTCGCTGCGTCTGGAAAAATCTTTTCAATTATGAGAGCGCTTACCGCGACCCACAAGCCTACATTTGAAATAGCGAACTTGAGAGCGCAAGACACAATATGTGAACGGCCCTAAGGCGTTTATTTAGTCTGAATCTCACGCTCATGTTACGAGGGCAAAAAACAGAAGGCCTATACACGCGCAGAATGCCATCCTGCTTGATGAGCTATCTCGAATCAGGCCATGAGCCAGTGGAAGAAACACTAGTGGTTCACGCTTGCCCGCATACTGCTGTTTTTGCTTGTTTGGTGGAGGCAATCCAATTACTGTTGGTGAAATTATAATCAGACCCACCCTTAAAAAAATCTCTTCGGATCTGCACGATTCACACAAGTCACCAAACTGACGTGAAAAAAGCGGGAGGTGCCGAAAAGTGTGCTGTTTTCATCCCTTGAGAGACAGTAAAATGACTCACCTCCATCCAGGGTCATGGGTGGCTTCATCACTTTCTTCCAAACAGCATAAAACTGCACCATGGCGCAGAAGTCTTGCCATCTTTTCTTTAACCCATCTATGAACTTGCTGTTGCCCTTATCCAAGATCCGACACAGCTCACCCATCACCTATGGATATATGTGTTAAAATCTGCAACAATGCTTGCTTTATAAATGAGACAAAATGACTGAATTGCTTACATTACGAAGATCCTTGAAACATGGATAAGCATCCAGAATCTTTGTGGGCCTATCTTCTTCTTTTAGGGCATCACTGTCAATGAAGGCTCGTCTTGCTTGAAACTCAAGGTCAAGGATTTGGAAGACAGCATCTTGGTTGGGTTTTGTTTTTTTATACATCTCCTGCAGAGTTTTATAATGCCTGGCCTGTGCTGTCAGGCTATCCCTGTCTGCTAAAAAGGAAAATGGGTGAAAAGGGTATTGGACACACAATTCTAAATAATTATATGGGTTTT